CATTCCTTCATGGAACCTTCTGGAACCTTCTGGAACCTTCTAGAACATTCCTTCATGGAACCTTGTGGAACCTTCTGGAACCTTCTTTGCTTTCCTGACTTGTCTTGTTGTCATTGGTATCATTGGTATCATTGTATTACTAATTGCTCTTTCTGGAACTTTCTTGGAGTCTTGACAAGGAACACTCTCAAAAGGTATAAAAGGGGGATGGGGGACCTGTCCCATCCCTCAAGTGAATTATTGTTTCCAATACAATCATCACTCCTCTCAGTTCTGTCAGGAACAGGGCAGGACAGGACAAGGCAGACAAGGAACTGAGAGGAGTGATGATTGTATTGGAAACAATAATTCACTTGAGGGATGGGACAGGTCCCCCATCCCCCTTTTATACCTTTTGAGAGTGTTCCTTGTCAAGACTCCAAGAAAGTTCCAGAAAGAGCAATTAGTAATACAATGATACCAATGATACCAATGACAACAAGACAAGTCACGAAAGCAAAGAAGGTTCCAGAAGGTTCCACAAGGTTCCATGAAGGAATGTTCTAGAAGGTTCCAGAAGGTTCCACAAGGTTCCATGAAGGAATGTTCTAGAAGGTTCCAGAGGTTTCCAGAGGGTGATTCATAACATCATCTCCCCCTTTTAGGCCTCTTCTGCAACTTGGTGGGGTACCTGGTCTTGAACTCGAGCAGAAGGTCTTGGCAGTGAGTGAGGTTTGACTCAGGCTCCCAGGTGTTGTCAGCATCTGAGTAACCTTTCCACTTAACAAGGAACTTGAGTGTTCTTCCAAACCACTTGGCATCCAAGATTTGTTCAACCTCAAATTCCTCTTCACCTTCTACCTCAACTGGAGGAGGAGGAGGAACAACTCTGCCTGGAATGGAATTGGCCACAAACTTCTCTAAAAGGCTGACATGGAAAACTGGGTGGATCTTCATGGATGCAGGGAGATCCAGCTTGAAGGTGACTGGATTGATTTGCTCCAAGATCTTGAAAGGACCCAACTTGAGGTTGTCTAGCTTGGGACTTGGTCTTTTGGTCTGCAAGTTCTTCCTCAGAAGCCAAACTTGCTGACCCACAGCAAGGTCATGGTCCATTCTGTGAGTGTTGGCAAATCTTGAGGCATCTTCTTGGGCTTGCTTCAGGGTGGAGTCCAGGAAGGAGTTGATGATCTTGAGCTTATGTAAGTGTGAAGCCGCAGCAGGAGCTTGGACATTGGATAGGGTCTCTTGTCCCAGAAGATCTCCTCTTGGATTGAAGCCATAGGTTGCAAAGAAAGGAGATAGCTGGGTGCTTGAGTGGAGAGAATTGTTGAGAGCAAATTCTGCCAGTGGAAGGAGGGTGGGCCAATCATCCTGTTGATAGCTGACATAGCACCTCAAATACTGCTCCAGAGTCTGGTTTGTTCTTTCTGTTTGTCCATCAGTCTGAGGGTGATAAGCAGTTGACAGTTGAGACTTGATTCCAAGGGCTGCTGTGAGTGCTTTCCAAAATTGAGATCTGAACTGTGGTCCTCTGTCACTGACAATTGACTGAGGCAGCCCATGGAGCCTGAATATGTGCTGCAAAAACAGGTCTGCTGTTCCTTGTGCATCTATATTCTCAGTGCAGGGGATGAAATGGGCCAACTTTGTCCTTCTGCAGATGACAACAAGGATAGAGTCAAATCCATGGGATGGGGGCAGTTTCACAATGAAGTCCATGGATATTGATGACCAAGGGCTGATGGCAATTGGGAGGGGCTCCAGAAGTCCATAGGGCTTGTGTCTGCTGGATTTGTTTCTTTGACAGGTTTCACAGCTGCTGACATAGTTCTTGATGTACTTCCTCATGCCTGGCCAGTAGAAGTCTCTGGAAACAAGCTCATATGTCTTGTGCTCTCCTGGGTGTCCAGCTGTTGCTGCATCATGCCTTGTCTTGAGTATCTCAAGTTTTTCCTCTTCTTGGCTGATTTGAATCTTGTGAGGCTTGGGGTCCTTGGAAATAGCATGGGCCCACACACTGTCAGGAAGCAATGAAAGATGTGCCTTGGATGGTGGGGTGAGACCATCTCCCCCTTCAGGTGCAAGGTCTGTCCTTCTGTGCTCATCAGCAGTGGGGCTTGAACTCTTGACTGGGAACTGTGATTCTTGAATCTTTGACTGAGGGTTCTGTTCTTGGCAAAGACTGTGAGCTGTGGAACTTGAATCTTGAATGTGGACTGTGAACTGTGGTACTTGAATCCTTGACTGTGGGTTCTGTGAACTAGAGTCTTGGCCATGACTGTGAGCTCTATGAGCTCTACTTGAATCTTGACTGTGAACTGTGAACTGTGGAACTTGAGTCTTGGCTGGCTGTGAATCTTGAATCAAGGGCTTGAGAGCATGAGACTTGGGGGCTTGACTTGAGTTTTGGGTGACTGTTCCGATTGGTGGAGGTTGGACTTGACCAGTGACCCAATCAATGTCAGGGTTCTGGGCTTGCAGCCATGGTAATCCCAGGATGACAGAGAATGTGGGTGAGCCAAGATCCAATACTTCCAGGTTGACCATGGATGGTGGAAAGTCTTGGATGTGGAGGTTTAGCTTGGTTTCATGGCTGATTTCCTTGAACAGAGCATGATTGGCAAAGTGAACCTTGAGGGGTGTGGATTTCTTGATGGTGGGAATGGCACAAGACTTGGCAAGGGTGGCATCAATGATGTTGCAGGATGATCCAGAGTCTATAAGGGCCTTGGTTGTGATGGTTGACTTGGGTGAGAGTTGAATCTTGACATCCATGGTGAGTTGGTGGGGCTTGGAATCTGAGGTGTTTGTGGTGCTGGTGGTGGTGATGAAACAGGGGCAGCTTGGAGGAGGGTCCAGGGAATTGCCCCTCAGTGAGCCTGGACCTGGGAGTTTGGGTGCTTCTTCCTTGGGCAGTCCTTGACAGCATGCTCCTTGGAGCCACAGTAAAAACACAGTCCCTGCTGGGCCCTCCTTGTTTTCTCCTCTTGGCTCAGAGGACCCTTAGGAAGTGTCTCAACTGCATCCACTTGCATGGGTTCAGGAACTGTAAGAGCTTGAGGAACTGGGGTAGGTCTTGATGTAGTTCCTACTTGTCTTTGCTTCAGCCTCTTGGAGTAGAGTCTGTTGTCAATCTTGATGGCAAGGAGAATGTACTCTTCCAAGGTCTCAGGGATGTGCAGAGACTGGGAGAGCATGTCTTGGATAGACTCATGGAGACCATCATGGTACAGCTCCATCAGAGCTGCATCATTGTATCCAGAGTCTCTGGCTAGTTGCTTGAATTGGTTGGTGTAGGCCACACAAGATTGCTTTCCTTGCTTGATATGCTTGAGCTTGGATCTTGCTGTCCAAGATGCGTAGGGGTCACCAAAGGTAGCTTCCAGCCCCTCCCAGAGCTCTTGCAGGGTGGTGGGTGTGCTTGGGAGAGATCTGTACCATGATTGAGCTTGACCAGACAGGAGGGTGCTTGTGAAAAGAACCTTGACTTGCTCACTGGGAAATCTTGAAGGTTGGAGAAGGATGACATTCTCCACAGTGGCCATGAAGTTCCTAAGGTCTTTGGCCAGCCCAGTGAACTTGTCAGGGCTGGGAACCTTGGGCTCTCTTGCTTGGTTGGCTTGAGGCAGGGGAAGAGCTTGATGTTCTTGTTGGTGAAGTTGTTGTTGAAGCTGGTGCTGCTGGTGAAGGACTTGTTCTTGAAGTTGGTGTGTCTGTCTTGAAAGGGCTTGTAATTGGTCCATCAAGGCTTGGAAGGCAGTTGCATCAGGGAAGGTGTTGTTTGGGTCAGACATGATGGCAGAGAGTAGTGGGAGAGGGTGAAGTGAATTATGATGTCAGGAACAGGGCAGGACAGGACAAGGCAGACAAGGAACTGAGAGGAGTGATGATTGTATTGGAAACAATAATTCACTTGAGGGATGGGACAGGTCCCCCATCCCCCTTTTATACCTTTTGAGAGTGTTCCTTGTCAAGACTCCAAGAAAGTTCCAGAAAGAGCAATTAGTAATACAATGATACCAATGATACCAATGACAACAAGACAAGTCACGAAAGCAAAGAAGGTTCCAGAAGGTTCCACAAGGTTCCATGAAGGAATGTTCTAGAAGGTTCCAGAAGGTTCCACAAGGTTCCATGAAGGAATGTTCTAGAAGGTTCCAGAGGTTTCCAGAGGGTGATTCATAACAAGTTCCTTGTCTGCCTTGTCCTGTCCTGCCCTGTTCCTGACAGACTGGTAGCAGCAAGAGGCACAAGATGGACCTGAACCTATTGTGACTGTCGGGTATCATTCTCACACTGCCCATGGGAGAGTAAGCCACCACCAATGCAGACCTGGGTGCTGGGTTGTGCTGTTGACAAATACTCGGAGTATTAAGTAGAACTGAAACCTGGTGTTAACAGTTTTCCTCCTCTGCTCAAGCAGATAATATAGGAGAGGTTTTTACCCTGTACCATGCACACTTGCCTGGCAACTATTATAGCATGTGTGCATATCATCATTATGTATCAATTATTCATAACCGAGTTTTTTTTCTCTTTCTCTCCAAGTGGGGAGAAGGGCCACCCACAAACACGCATCTCCACTTCATTCACACCTTCCACTCACTCACTCAGAGTAGACTGTTTACACCCCCAAAAACAGATACAATGTAGGTTTCGGCGCAGCCAACACACCTAAACGCCAATCAGTTCAGAGTCAGTGCTGTCCTCTGTTTTAAAAAAAAAAGTTGCCCTTTTGGGCCTCCAATTTAAAGATGTCGGTATTGTGTGCACCAGAAAAAATTTCCCCTCCCCTTTTTTGTGCGTGCGAGCACAATTTCCACCGCATAGTGAAAACAATCCCAGCGCAGCCAATCAGCAATCGACTACAGCCAGCCACCATAGCGACCCTGAGCCAACCCACTCATGCGCTGGATATTTCGGATGAAGTGCACAATTGTGTACTGCAACACCCCAAACCCTGACTGCAGAAGCACCAAAACATACCTGATTTTTCCGCAGGGGCAAAGTGGTTGCCAGCTCTGTTAACTCAGTTGGTTAGAGTGTAGTGCTAATACAGCCAGCCAGACCCTCCCACCGAGGCGATGGCTGGTCGTAACGCTAAAGTCACAGGTTCGATCCCTGTACAGAGCACATACCTTCTTCCCTCGTACAGGGAGTGTCTGGCTATCCAATTTTATTTTTCACAGGGCCGCAGTTGAGCGCCAGCCGATTCTAACTTGTGGTAAGGGGGATAATTTGTCAGAGACTCATTTCACACCCAGCTGGCCATTGCGTAAGGGCCGCCACCACGCCACAGACTAGGCCTTGCAAGAGGTGTCCAATTCTGCTGACTGAGCTACTCTTCATCTTCAAGGGCTCTTCGAACAGTCTAGTGGCAAGAGTGATAAGGCAAGTCTCCAGGATGGGAAGCACCCGGATATTAGTTGGGCCACACGCTGGAACCTGGATCCAGCTCATGTCTTTTATAGTAATAAAACAGTAGAGCCAGTGAGGAGATGGTGATAAATGGTAATGAATTAAAGTTCGGGGTTCATTTAACAACAATGCCATCACCGGTGGAAGAGCTTTCAGGTAGACCACAGCTGGACGACCATGATCAGTGAGATTTTTTGAAATCTCACAGTCCCGGACACGGTCATCCCCCAATGGGGCACTGTCCGTTTTCCTTTGAAAGTCATTTTGCAAGAAGCGGACTCAGAGTGTGTTGACTGGCGCCGCACGCCTGTCTCCCCTTCATGGGCCTTTCCCAACTGCATTGGGAATCTCCGCCTGTCTGCTGGCGCACGAGGCAAAAAAATGTGGCAACCCTTAGTGAAGGGGGAGGAGGATGGGCGGGGGTTGTCGTGTCATATTGTCATGTTGCAGGAGCCCAATGAGAGAAAAAGGCTTGGTTGTGTACTCGACTCCCTTCCTCCCCTGCTTGGCGGTGGTTGAAACCAAAACCACGTGATCGATTGTTTTCTTTCTTTTTGACTTGAGCGGACGAAAAACGGCTTTTGCAATGTCAACCCCGCCACCGCCACACCACCGCCAACAACGGATTCCCCCCGCCGCCGCGGACGCGATCTGCCCCTACCTGGACCTCGCCGACCGCTTCACCTTTGCGACGCTGCACCGCATGTGGTCCGTCCAAGCCGAGACGTACCTCGCTGTTTACTACAACGCCTTTGATCAGGCCAGCAACCGTGCGGACGCGGCGGACGCGGACGCCGACCCGTCGCTGCTGGACGTGCTGCTGCGGTACTGTCTTGCGCGCGGGATCGACGTGTCGCGGCGGTACAGCGTGCACGCGATCGCGGGGGCGAGCGCGAAGGGCGCGATCCGGGTGCTGCGGTGGTGGCGGGACCACGTACCTGCGGCGGTGGAGGCGCACGTGGGTCGCGGGTTGATGAGCGCGACGTTTGGCGGGCGGGTGGAGGTGCTGGAGTGGTGGAAGGGCGAGAGCGGGGTGCCGCTGAGGTGCCATTGGTTTGTGGTGACGGCGGCGCGGTACCACGGGGGCAATGCGGCGGTGAGGTGGTGGCGCGAGAACGAAGGGTCGGTGGAAGGTGTTAAGAATCTGGACAGCTTCTCAATTTTGCAATGAAACTTTCAACTGAGAAATGATGCTGGTTTTTGCCCCCAACTCTTTTAATAGCACCTAGCGCAAGTGGTGCGACTCCTCCATTGGACGTATCGACCGGACTGCTGGTTCTGGAGGAGATCTCCTCCACAGTGCGGGGCGGCCAAAGAGGCCACCATCGAATCAACATTATGTCGACAGCTGGCCGCTCTCAACTCGTTACGGCGTCGCCCAAGCAAAAACTGCCACAAGGGGGCTTGTTTCAAGCCTAGAATAAAAGATGCTTACTCGCGGACCGACTCGATCTCGCTCAACGTCTCGCTGAGCCCCAGGCTGAGCCCCCTCGCGCCAGAACGGTTGGCAGCCGCCGACCCAGCCGCGTCCCACGACGCGGCTGTCGGGATCCACACGTCAAAATGAAGAAATGTCGGAGATGACGAGCTACACCGCCCCATTCCGAGGTGTAAGAATGAATGACAGCGGCGCCAAAAAGAAGACGAATAGGGAGAAGACTGCCTATCATGAATGCTTTCGCGGCGCGTCAAACGGGCGGAGGGGGCAGTTGGTGGCGGTCGCAGCCGGAACGGAACAGGTTGGTCTGTGCGACGTGATCTATCGAGAAAACAAAACGACCCGCTGCGCTTCCACTTGGACCGAATATGGAATCAAGTAACTAGGACCTTTCCCAACTGTGGCTGAGTGCAAGAGAGAACGAAAAGAGCGCGGTCAAGTAGAAGCCGACAAGCCGCATGGGTCAGAAGTGGCAAAGGGGCGGAGAATTGGGAGGCGTTGCAGGGTGGCTTCGCAGAAGGTCGATAATGTTGCGGCCGTCCGCTGCTTTGAAAGGCGCAGAGTGGACCGCTGGTGGACTGGGCGGTCGTGCGCCCAGTTCTTTCCAGGGTTACGTCATGGCACGCAGACACGCCATCAAAGCATTCCGAGAGAAAGTAATCGGCAAGCCCAAAATCCCCCGAATCGCGATTCAACCAGGCGCTAATCGGATGCGCATGGAAGGACACGTTCACCGTCACGGACGGGCTGTTTTACCTTCCCGACCGATTGTTTTCGGACATGCTGACAGCGTCTCCCTGTGGCTAATCCGGATAAAATCGATCAGCCCTTGGATGCGAAACGGAGTGTGCAGCCGAGGAAAGGCTGGTCGGCAGACAAGGTTGCCATTGTCAGTAATGGAGACTGCGATTCGACTTGCGCGATAACTACACGGCCGGAAGAAAGTCTTTTTTCCTCAATATGGCTGCCGCTCATGCAAACGCTGGCTTTCGTCTATTTATCTTTTCACAACGCGCTTCGGACTGCCCAAATACTGTCGATTTGAAACCAAGGTCTCTTCGGGAGAATATCTCATCAAATCGTTCACCTACGGTGGCCCCACGGCATCAAAGCCCCTCCACCCGACATCTTTCGAAGGCGGCCGAGTAGCGCCCTTCGGCGCCTTGATACCCCATATCCAACCCATACTCTCCGCTTTTAACGTCACGTCCTCCTCGGCTTACTCCTCGGCCTTCGCCCTCCCTGCCGGTGGGCAAATCGCCTGCTGGGAAGCGTACTCGCAACTGAGGAACACGACAAGCTCCGAAGGAGGCGTGCCGCTCGAGTTTTCGCCGTGGCCTGCCGACGTAGTGCTGCCAGAGATCATAGGCGCAACGCAGTACGGCATGATTTGGGCTGCCGTCGAAAAGAGGTTGATGGCGAATTAGGTTGGTTATCGTGCGGGATCGACGAACAGAGAAGTTGCGATGGCGTCCAACCCGGAGGTTGTTCCCCAGACCCTTTAACCTTCGGGACCCGCTTGTTTGCAATTGAAAAGGTTTCTAGCTACTCTTTCACAGTCATCTTTACTTTCTTCAGATATGAAGTTATGATTGTAAATGAAAATAAAAAATGGTTGGGCCTTATTCAAATACCTTATAAACTCAGCCGCTTTCATGAGAAAAGCTTCACGCTCTGCAATCCATTTCCTGTGTCTGGACTCCACGTAACGTGCGCCGCAACCAAAAACAATGGGGGACTGCAATCGGGTGCGTTATTGTCTCCAAAGCCCTTGACGACTGCTTCCTCGCTGACATGACGCCCTTGCTGTGCCATCACGGTCGCTTCGAGGCTGAAGACGACCCACCGGCGACGTCTTCCCACACGACGCTCCCAGACGCTCTCCTGCTCGAGATCGCCCGGGTCCTCGACATTGCCAGTCTCTGTCGGCTCTCCCAGTCGAGCCGCCGGCTGCGCGCGCTGACGCTCGGCTCGCGCTCGCTCTGGATCGACCGCCTCGCAGCGGTCGCGCATGCGGCGAAAGTGCGGCTGACGCCGGACCAGACGTGGGGGGGCGTGGCTGGGCTTCGGAGCCTGGTGCTGCGAGTGCACCCGCGGATCAAACGGTCTCCGACGCGACGGGTGGAGGGCGGCGGCAGCGATGCGCGGCCGCCGCAGGTTCTGGCGATCGAGGAGTCGACGGGTATCCCGTGGACGCCGCTGGGTTACGAGGAGCCGCCTGCGCGAGGGCCGTCCACGACTGCTCGCCGCGCGGTTGGTCTCATCCCCATCTTCACGAGAAGCAGTGGGACCGCTCGCGGGCTCTGTCCGTGCGTGCTCAAAGACAGATGCGGAATCCTGGTCGGCGGAGATGTGCAGGCGGACGCGGAAGCGACGGGGTGGAGCTGGCTCGACATCGGAAGCGGCCGGCGGACGCGCTTGCCGCCCACCAGCGTGCTCGCAGACGCCAGCCCCGCGGACCAGATCGTGTGTTTGCCGGGCACCGACCTCGTGATACGGCGCAACCGCGACACTTACGAGCTCACGATGCTCCAATGGGACGGCGCGGCCACAGACTTTGTGCTCATGCGACCGTGTCCACTTGCGATGGAGCCGCATCTACAGACTCTGCTGCGGAGGAACTTCCTGCCTATCGTTGAAGTCTCCACCGGCATGGACGGCTCTGCGTGGCTGTGGTTCCAGTCCGTGAATTGGGCGACCGACAAGTCCATGCAGGTGGTTGCGTTTCGCGCTGAACCCGTGCTTGACGAGAACGGAGCGGTAGCGTCGCACAAACTGGGCTTTGTGCAAACCATACGAGTCGCACCCCCTTCGCAAGGTGGGCAGTGCGGACCTGCATTTTTCGGTGCTGGATTCTTTTCAGTGGCAATGGTGCGGAACGATGGCGTCGGTTCAGTTGAAGTTATACGAGCAACGGATGGGGCCGTGATTTTGAAGAGAGACGGCCTGCCCTTCGGTGTGTCGGGAACCAAAGCATTCGTGTGGATGGATGAGAGCGACGTCGACTTCCAGACTGGGCTGCGTCCGGCTGCAGCACCGGAAGGCGGCCCCGTACCTCAGAAAGACTGGTATGACTTCACAGTGATAGACTTTATGGCTGCCGCGTGTGCTGAGACCAGCGGTCGTACAGCTGGAGGAATATCAAATCTTCAGCTGACTGACCAGTGCCGCGTCAATACGGGCTTGGATTCCGACTGGATCCTTAAGAAGTGCATGTCTGGAGTTGATTATAAGTCTTTCAAGGATAATAGCACTGGATGCTTCCAGTTCCTGGACT